GTGGCTGCTTCTCTCCCTGACGACCCACATGCTCCAGGGGCAGCACCAGGCCCCTGTAAGGGGTGCTGAGAACTCGATTTCACTCAAGCCTCAGCGTGCATATGTCCACTGTCACCCAGCCTCCGCCCCCCAAGGCGGACCTGGTCTACCCCACCCTTCCGCCCCGGTCACCAGACAGGACATGGCGAGGAGAGCACACGGGAATTCATCTGGTGGCAGATGGCTGCCCGAGCAGAGACCGAGGCCGGCCGGTGGAGGTTAATGGCAGGGGACGTAGGCCGTTCACGCTCCATTAGCCACTTTGTACACATCTTCCCGGCCATTATCTGCCTGGAGACGGGCAAGCATGCTGCCCACCTCAGCCTCACCCGAAGGGCCTGGCTGCCGCCAGCTTCCAGGTGTATCTCGGAGACTGCTGGCTGCTGCCTGCTGACACAGCACGCCACCCATATTTTTCAAAAAGTACATTGTTTTTTAATATAAGAGCAAAGGAGGCAGCTAAAAGCAATTGCCAGCCGTGCCAGAAAAAAACCCACAAAAACACGCAGCAACAGCCTGGCAGGTGTGGCTCACTGGTTGAGCATCGACCCACGAACCAGGAGGTCACGGTTGGATTCATAGTCAGGGCACATGCCTGGGTTGCAGGTTCGATCCCCAGTATGGGGTGTGCAGGAGGCAGCTGATCAATGGTTCTCTCTCATCATTGATGTTTCTCTCCCCACCCATGAAATCAATAAAACATATTTAAAAAACCCCAAACCACCAGCAATAGATGAGACTTTCTCCCGATGTCCTGGGACCACAGCGCCCTGGTTCTCAATGCAGAGAACCTGGCCCTTCGGTCTCAGAGAAGGTTCCTGCAGAGCCCTGCGCCTCGTACCAGGCCCCGGAGATCTGCAGCTGCTCCGAGGAGCCCGAGAGGAGAGCGAGCAGACCACGGACACTGTGGGTGTCAAGGCTGAGGTACCTGCCAATCCTGTAAAGGAGCACGGACCCCGGGACAGCCGCCCAATCCCCACCCAATCCCCACCAGGGCCCACAGGGCCCTGCTGGGCAAGCAGTGCAACAGGCAACAAGTAGCGGCGGGGAGGGTTAGCTGTTAGAACCAGAGGGACTGCCGGTGCCCAGCGCGCCTGCGGCAGGGGAGAGGCTGAGAGGACAGGTGCTGTCAGGATGGAATTCTGGACTAGACACTACTCTGGGAGCGGGACCCTGATGCTATGCTCTTGGCAGATGAGGGTCTTTAACACGGCGCCTGGTTGTGGCCTCAGACTTAAAGAGGACGTGTTAGCGTCAGGGACGTGCCCTGTGCTCTGAGCAATCAGGGGAATGTAAAGAATAGCGTCACAAATGTTCACAAGCCCAGAAGTGGGCACCCCTACAAGCAGGAAAATGCCTGAGCATTACTGCCACCTAGTGGACACGGTGGGAAGTGGGCTGAGTATTTTAATCTGCCTTGAAATCGAAGAGACTCTCTCCATAGGAAGTTTCATCTGTATGTGGGCAATTTCCCTCAATCTCATTAAAAAATGTCCCAGAGGAAGCCACCAAGAATGGACTGAAGGAATCAAGCCCTCTGCCTTGGCTTCTTAATGCTTCTGACACAGGAATGTGTGGGCTGTACTTGATGCTTCTGACCTACAGGAATGTACAGCCCACACGTTCAAAGGCATCTCTTTCTAGAACAAGTCTGTCCCCAGTGAGTGCCCACGGCCGGCAGTTCCACACACAGGTCCAGTGAGTGGCGTGGCGCCAGAGGCAGGAAGGGAGATGTGTGTGTTCCTGCGGAGCCATGAGGTGACTCCACAAGCCACTGCGTCTGTCAGCACAGGCAGGGGTCCTGTCCTGGTGGCCGATGGGAGCTGCCCAAGCTGCCCAGGGCTGGAGGTGGGCGTGGGGCTGGAGGGGGTCTGGGGCTGGAGGGGGCCTAGGGCTGGAGGGGGGCCTAGGGCTGGAGGGGGGCCCGGGGCTGGAGGGGGGCCTGGGGCTGGAGGGGGGCCCGGGGCTGGAGGTGGGTCTGGGACTGGAGGGGGGCCAGGGGCTGGAGGGGGGCCCGGGGCTGGAGGGGGGCCAGGGGCTGGAGGGGGCCTGGGGCTGGAGGCGGAGCTCCTCCTTCAGAATTCCATCTATCGGGACATCAGGCTGGGCTTTAGTACGATCAGTGACATGATTATAAGTATCGAGCTGATTTTGATCATGCAGCAAGCTTGGCATGGAAACGTGGCAATAACAGGAAACGAGAGTAAGAACGGACTTTGCCCACCTTCCCAGTCTGTGCTGGGTACCGATGGCACTGCCGGAAACACATCTCCAAAATCATAATCTACAAAAACGGGGACAAAACTGACCATTAGAAACAGGAAGTGGGAGGACAGGGTGGGAGGGGGCAACAGGGCAGGGACATGGGCGAAGACACACGAGGAAAAGTTAAACTTTCCACGTTTTATCTAACAGCCAACCTCAGGGACTTACTCGGGCCCCAGTGGCCTCTGACGGGCTGGGAAGACATCGGGGGCTGGGAACCTGGTTCTGGCAGAGAAGGTGGGCCCACCTGCTCCTGACCGGCTTTTCTATCCCGAGCCTTCCTTCCCTCTGCACCAGCGGCCGAGACAAGGGGGGCGGCTCCTTCGGGCAGCCCCTCCGCCTTCTCTGAGGCAGCCCCTGAGTCCGACCTCCCGTCCACTTGTAAAGGAGCAACGCTAACAGCAAGTCTGACAGTAACTGCCCTCTCCCTGGCCATGCATGGCTCATGGCACAATTAGAAATAAAGAGAAGGTCAGGGCCTCAATGCTGATGCAATTCTGGGGAGTCCCAGGCCTCGGATCCCCTCCCTGGAGGCGAGGAAACAGCCAGTTTCGTAAATGAACACAGCCCAGCCACCCAGAGTGGCTCAGTGGTTGAGCATTGACCTATGAACCAGGCGGTCATGGTTCAATCTACAATTAGGGTACATGCCTGGATTGCAGGCTCGATCCCCAGTGAGGGGCAATGAGTCTCTCTCATCGTTGTTGTTTCTCTCTCTCTCTCCCTTCCTCTCTGAAATCAGTAAAAATATAAATAATACAGCAAGGCTGTTTGGATAAGCTTTTGGATGAGACAACACAATGACCTCTGGTTGCGGTGACCTTTTTCAGACTCCGGTGCGAGGGGTGCGATCCCCGCGGACACACTGACAGTGCGGGAGGGACTCCGGAGAGATGCTGGCAGGTTTTCCCCTCAACGTCCCATCCACCCGCTTTCTCCTCCTTCCAGTGGCTCCTTAGCCTCTTTCTGCCTAAAACCTGGGCGGCGGCCTCCCCCAGCGATGAGAGGAAGTCTGGTCACACCTAATCCCGCCTCACTCGGAAACAGCCTTCTAGAAAAGGGACCAACCTCCCCAAGATCTGTCCCATGATTGTTGGACTTTTTGTCTCCATAGTTGGCTTCTTTTTCCCCCCGCATTAGTTTCTTAGCCTGCACAGGGACTTGGAGACAGAGGATCTGAGAGACGGCTGACCCTGTCTGACCTTCACTTCAGCCACGGGACCAGGACGAGGGACCAGCGGAGCCGAGAGAGACGCCGCCCCACCAGGCGCCAGTGGCTCTGGAGTCGGTTTTGGCGCGGGCCTGGCTCCTGTCCACCGGCCACCTACCCTCGCTGGACGGGGCGATGGCGCTGTCATCCCACTCCAGGTTGGTGGAGGTGACGGAGTTGAAGGAGTTGAGGGACAGGCTGTCGGAGCCGTGGGCCGAGCTGGGAAGGCGGTCCTCGAAGTCCAGCAGGTGCTGAGGCTTGTAGTAGTCGGGCATGTAGGGGGCCAGGTCTAAGTAGGGGGCGTCCTGAGGCGAGAGGAGAGAGGCAGGTCTGGGTGGTGGCCTCCACTGGGGGCAGGGTCGGGAGCCACGGGCCTGCCTGTCACACCCTCCCCCGTGCTAGCTTTTCCTTGGGGAACCAATGGGCTGAAACCAGCTGCTGAGGAGTAATGTGATGGGTGTGGCGCTGAGAGCTGGGCCTGAGGCCCACAGAGGACGGGAACCAGCGAGGCCTTCTCTGACCTCTCACTATTCAAATTGCTCTTTCCCCCCAATTCCTCTGCCTCTTCAGTCTGTGCCAACTGGGCAGGACCCAGGAAGGGGTTTGGACTCGGCATCTGAGGCACGGTGGGCCCCTTCGGCTCAATCTGGGCCGGCACTGAACGTCTCTAGTGTTCACTCCCTCCGGGTGAAGTGCACCACCAGCACCCAGTTCAGTGTTCAGTGTAGGAGAGAGGCCGGAGTCGGAGCCAATTCCAAGACCCCAGGAGGCACAGGGATGAGTCGGCCATGTCCCCCTCAAACACTCATGCCCCACACATCCAGGCGGCGGGCTCTTCTCCCAGGCGGGACAGAGATCGGAAGGAGTCAGCTGAACCAGATCTGGCCTCAGGCCAAGAGAATCACACCCACCCTCACTCCCACGGCAGACCCCGACCCGGCCCTCACCTGCTCAGGCCGGGTCACACCTGAGACTCCCGGAGGGGCCTGAACAGGGACACCTCGCGCCCACCCGCCCCTCCTCTGCCCCGAAAGCCGGGAGCGCCATGGGGTCTCACCAGGTCCAGGTCGAAGCGAATGAACTCCAGCCCAGACACCAAGGTCAGGAAGAGAGTCAGGTGATCGTGGCTGCAGACCAGGGCATTCCTGTGGGACACGGAGGGGACGGCGGTGGGGCTGGTTTGTGTCCAGCTCGGCCCTCCCTCGCCAACAAGCCCCGGTGTTGAAATGCGACATGTGACAGCCCTCTCCCTGAGGGCGCCTGGCAGGAGGCAGCTATCCAGCCCTTCCCAGCCTCTCCTCCTGGGTTTGTGCCACACGGCCAGCTCCCGCCAGTGTCTCAGACACGGGCCTGTGGCAGGAGGCCCGCCTGGCTCGCCGCAGCTGCTATAAATACTCCGATCCCGCAGTCACCCAGCAAAGGCTGCGCATTCTAGTCTGGTCTGAGGCCCGAGGAGGGACCAGCGGAGGCAGAGCACCAAGCACAGGAGCCCAGCTGGAGCCCAGCGCTCCTGGCAAAGCCGCCCACGCCGGGCTCGGAGCGCCCCGGGGCCGTCACGGACATGTCCTCCGCAGGCAGTGCCAGGCCGGGCCTCTGAGCTGCAATCACGGGGTCTGCGTGTGAAAAGCGCCTGTGGGACGAGGCGCCAGGGCAGCTTGGGGGCCACGGGCACAGACCGCACACTCACTTGACGTAGTACTTGTGCAGCAGGCCCAGGTTCTCCTGGAACAGCCGCAGGTAGCTCTCCAGGGAGTTCTCGTTGAGGGCCAGGTACAGCCAGGCCCGGCCTGCAGACAAGGGCAGGAGTCACCGGGAGGAAGGTCTGTCAGGAAGCAGGCAGGGGCAGGAAGGAGAGACAGAGCGGGGGAGGGGACTGTGCATGCCAACAGCCTGGCCTCCTGGAGGGCCACGACCCCAAAATCTTTAATCTCCGGGGAGCCCCCAGCTTGTGGCTGCCCGGGGAGCTGGACAGAGGGCAGATTTTAACCTCAAGGGGGTTGACAAATGCAAGGATCCTGCACGACCCTGCAGGCTAACAATGACCCTCACCGAGGAAGGGAGCGAGACCATCGTGTGCTCGGCTGGGGTGCTCTCCCGAATCCCACTCCCCTTCACCGCCCTCCGCGCTCCCACAGACTGCCATTCACAGGAGGGGCCTCTGGAGGGCACTGGCATTGAGGGCCCCTCTGCCTCTGGATATCACATGATGATTGGCTCCGCCCCTTAGCCCCGAGCCACCCACAGGGAGGGCGGAGCTGGCCCTTCCCAGCATCCACCTGCACTACTCACTGCGCCCCAGGTTGGTGGCCACGTGCTGCAGCACCTCGATCTGCTTGACGGCCTCCCTCCGGGTGAAGTGCACCACCAGCACCCAGTAGCCGGAGGAGAGGTCCTGCAGCCTGAGGGACAGGACAGGCGCTGCTGGACCCGGGCACGGCTCCCAGAAGGTGCAGTCAGCGGGCCCACCAGCTGCATCAGTCCTGAGCTCAAGGCCAAGAGCAATGGCTTCCCAGCGAGACCCACAGGCACCGTGCCTTCCCGTTTCACCTACTCCTTCTCTCCTCCTGCGTGTGTCCGCTCAGAGACAACCTGCCCGATAACGCAGACCGCCTGCGGCCCACCCGAGCCGGACCAACTTCTCCCCGCCCAGGGGGAGGAGCCTCAGAAGGCGGACGAGGCCAGGGACTTGTCTCCGAGGCCGTGCCCCGTGGTGCCCACCGCCTCCCAGAAGGGCCGGCTCACCCGTACAGCAGGGCGTGGTCCAGGTGCTCGCACAGGCGCTGCAGCACCTTGTCGTGGTTCCGGATGGCAGGCGTCTCATCCTCACATGCAGCAAAGTAGCTCTGCAACTGAAGGGGGACAACCGCCTTAGACCGGAGATGGCAGAGGGCCGGAGGGCCGGGACCGGCCCGGCTGCTGAGAAAACCAGTCGAATGGCTCTCCGTGGTGACAGAAAGAGGGGCCTGGAGACCAAGGCTGTGTCCCTGCAGCTCAGGCCCCACAGGCACTACAGGGGCTTTGCACAATGACAGCAGGCGAGGTTGTCATGTCCATGCGGAGGTCTCAGGTGGCACCAGGTCCAAGCCTGGGTCACCGAGCTGCACAGCACCAGGGTTGCTACCTAGGATGTTACCACCCACTTAAAGGAACCCCCGTGCCCCTGGGCTGTGCCACCCGGAGGCCTTGCTCCAAGCTGCTCCTCTGGAAAAACTCAGGCTGATGGGCTGGGGCACCGGCTGCCACGGTCTCCGTGTCAGCCTCTGGCAAGGATCTGCCTGAGGAGCCTGACAAGGCTGGACATGGGCCCGGGAACATGCCAGGCTCATGCAAGCCCTAAACCCAGAAGGACACTGTCCTCAGGTGGACTGACAGACGTGGACAGCGGGCGGGATGAAGTGCAGCTCCGAGCTAACGCCACCCGGCGGGCCAAGGCGAGGGCAGCTCCACCCGCTTAGTTAAGGGGAAGAAAGCCCAGATATTTGTGGGGGTGATTTATTTATTTAATTTGTGTGTTTAAAAACAATGTCTTTATTGATTTTTAGAGAGAAATGAAGGGAGAGGGAGAGATAGAAACATCACTGATCAGATGCCTCTGCATGCCCCCTAACTGGGGGTTGAGTCTGCAACCTGGGCATGTGCCCTGACCAGGAATCAACCTCTTGGTTCACAGGCTGACGCTCAACCACTGAGCCACACCAGCCGGCGAAAGCCCGGATATTTGGACTGAGTTCTCTGCCACCAGCTAGGAGGCAGGAGCCCTTTCAAGTAAAGCCCGGGAGCCGTCTTGGCACCTTCCCTTCAGCCACCCTCTGTCTGCCTTTGCCCTTGCCACGGCGGGGAAGGACACGATGGGAGAGCGCCACCCTGTTGGCTCAGCTCAGGTTCAAGCTCTTGGCGTCGGACAAACGAGCTCTCAAGTGTTTCTGAGCCGCAGTGGAGGCAGCGGCAGGCGAGACGCGTCACCCACACCAGCAGGCACGCGCTCCTGGCGGGAGGCCACCAGCCAGCCGCACCCCAGAAACTCTGCTCCGTGGCCCCGAGTGCACCCCAGCCCTGCTGGCCGGGGGGCTCAGTCCCCGGGTCTGCTCTGAGCCCGGGAGGAGAGGTTTCCAGAAGGGACGGGAGAGCAGCGAGCCCATGAAAACCACACAACTCCCTGGCAGCAACGGCCCCAAGTCTCCTGTGCACCTGACCACCGAGAACCACACCGCCAATGCCCGCGGCTGTCGCTTTTTTTTTTTTTACAGAGAGGAGGGGAGAGGGATAGAGAGCCAGAAACATCGATCAACTGCCTCCCGCACACTCCCCACTGGGGATGCGCCCGAAACCAAGGTACATGCCCTTGACCGGAATCGAACCCGGGATCCCCTCAGTCCACTGGATGATGCTCTATCCACTGAGCCAAACGGGTCTCGGCTGTTGCTTTTATTTCATTTCAAAATCCAAGGAGATCTGAGGCCAGGGGCTTAGTCGTTGGCGCTGGAAGCATCCTTCAGAGATCTAGTGCGACGCCCTACTTAACGGAGCAAAACCGACAGATCCATCCTCTTTGCTGTGAAAGTAGCCACACCCACTCCCCCACCTGAGAACGTGGACACGGTTTAAATTTTTACTTGTGATGTCTAGTGAAATGACGGAGCCACGGCTAGAACGCAGACACCTTTCTCAGGTTAAGATATCTTAAAACGATTATTCCTGCCTGGCCAGCGTGACCCAGTGGTTGAGCATCGACTTATGAACCAGGTCACGTTCGATTCCCGGTCGGGGCACCGGCCCGGGTGTGGGCTCAGTCTCCAGTGTGGGGCGTGCAGAAGGCAGCCGGTCAATGATTCTCTTCCATCGTTGATGTTTCTCTCTCTACCTCTCCCTTCCTCTGAAATCAATTATCTTCTTAAACAAAATTATTCCTGAGCCAGCTGCTGTCGGCGGGCTGCAGGGGGTGGGGTGGAGCCAGAGGGGCCGGTCTGGCTCCCGGGAAGTGCGAGACCCGGGACCCATGGAGGGAACCGCGCGGAGAACCAGGCCTCTGCTTCAGGGGCGGCACTAGGATGCAGCCCGTGCCGAGTGTTATTTTGGGAGCAGCAAAGGCCTTCCACTGACTAATGTGGGTAAGCTATAAACACAACAATGTCCTTTTTATGTACATTTTAAATCAAGCCAAGCACAGATGCTGGTGATGCGCAGATTATTATCTTTTCTACTAAAGCAAGACTCTGTGGCTCCTGCGTTAGCATGGGCTGTGTCCTGGCGGAACTCGGCATGTTTTATTCCACTAAAGGAGTCTCTTCACAGTAAAAAAAAGTTATTCTGGAAACAGTATTTGTTCACCCTAAAAATGCAAGCAACGTGGAAGTGGATATGAATATGAAAGCCACCCGTTCCTCACTGTCAACAGCTTATGTGTGTGTCCTCCCAACCCTTCTCTGCATACGCAGATTTTAGTTTTCATCATTCTACCTGGGAAGTACCTTGCTTTAACCATGGTTAGACATGGCTACTGGCTCCAATTCTCTGATTTTACACAAAACATTGTGACGAGCACGGGTGGACCCCTGCAAGGGTAAATCTGCCTGGTGAGTGCTCAGAGCGGAACCTCGGAGCTAAAGAACACGCGCATTCGGTGTGGCTGCAGCCGGCCACGGGCCTGTCTGAAAGGGGGTCAGTTTCCACTCTGACCAAGCTGGCAGCACAGGATGAAATCAGTCTAATTCCTGCCACTGATCGGAGAGAGAGAGTTCTTAATTGCTTTAAACTGTATTTCTCTGCTCACTAATGCAGTTGCACAGTTTTATTAACCATTTGTATTTCATATTTCTGTGAAGTGCCTTTTCATAACCTCCGCCCAGTCTCCTGGCTGTTGGTCTCTGCTTTTAGTGTGTTTAATCTGCTCCAGCTCTCTTTTTTATTTTTTTTTAAGTCATTATTGTTGAAAGTATTACATACGGCCCTTTTACCCCCATCCGCTCAGCTCTTTATTTGTTAAGAATTTAACCCTGTTTGTTGCACTGTTTCTTGTTTTGGGGTGTTTTGTTTGTTTTTGCCTAGTCTCAATTGACATTTAAATTTTGCTTTTGGTGTGCTTTTTCCTACTGAGAAATTTTAATTTTTTTATGTAGTCAAATCTGTCAATATTTTCCTCTATAGTTTCCCATTTTCCCCAGTCTAATATTACAAAAGTACTTTATCCTTCAATAGTTTTTTTTTTAAATGTACTTTTATTTTTTTATTTTTATTTTTTAAATATATTTTATTGATTTTGTACAGAGAGGAAGGGAGAGAGATAGAGAGTTAGAAACATCGATGAGAGAGAGTCATCGATCAGATGCCTCTTGCACACCCCCCACTGGGGATATGCCCGCAACCAAGGCACATGCCCTTGACTGGAATCGAACCCGGGCCCTTCAGTCCCCAAGCCGACGCTCTATCCATTGAGCCAAACCGGTCTCGGCATATCCTTCAATAGTTTTAGGACTTAAAAAAAAAAAAAATGCTTAGCTCTA